CACACACACACACACACACACACACACACACACACAGCAGTGTCCCTTAGTGAACTGCACCCTTCTCCTCACATATGCAGACAGACTAACGGACAGTCAGATCAGTTTCACCTGGGACTGGATTTCTATTGGGTCAATTTCTGCTTTAGATATAAAGCCCTTTCTGTTACCACCTCATATCTGTGCTAATTACAACAGACACCAGGGAATTTGAAAATACAGGGGGTTATATACACTGGATTGGATGAGGTCACTTTAGGAACCTAGAAATAATTTTCTATTTCTATGTAGGTTTCTACAACAGCATATTAAGGCAGATTGATGGATGCACAAACATGTAGAATTACCTGTTTGAGAGGAAAAGGGTTCACAAAGACGAATGTGCTCTGCTTTACGCTGCTGACTACATGTCTGGCCTCTGGAGACAGTGGATGGTAATCTGCATGTAGAGGTCACGGAGCAGAGATGGGTGAAGAAGCTTGGTAGAAGAAAGAAACAAAGACAAAGAACAACAAAGACAGACACAAGGGAAAAATATGATTGGTCACAAAATGTAAAACTGCAAAAAGTGACAAATGAGTCTAACATAAACCACGTGCGACTGTGGTTGCAGTGGAAAAGCAAGTGTTCAAGAGGAGGAAGCAGCAGGTGTGTGACACACACTGAAGAACAGTGAGAAGAGATGAATTTCCAAGGCAGAAGAAAGGGAAGCAACAGGCCATGTTAGATGCACTGAGAGAGGAGGTTTTCGAATGTTTCGAGGTTTATCTCACTAACTCTATCATATTTATGACACATTTTTCAGTTGTTTAACTCAAACAGTAAACTATTGCAGCTTTTTTTGCTTTTTATTAATTGAGTTGTGCACACAAGTAAAATAGTCAAAAAACTGCATCCTCTTTCTTTTTTATGTGGGAAATGCTTTTTTGTTTTTTATATTGTTAAATTTTTACTGTACTTTTGTGAAGCACACTGTGATTTGCTTCTTGAAAGGTGCTATATTAAATAAATTACTTTTGTTATAGATTTTATCAGGGTTGTCGGTTAAAGTTTTGATGCAGAAAACTGCTGTAAAAAGTGGACACAAAACTGCCATTGGTAATAAATTGGCCCCAGAAAGCGTTTCTGCTCAGTAACCAAGCTTCATGAAGGTCGTCTGAATGAATCACCACAACTCATCAACATAGTGCATGAATCACAATGCCTGTCACCTTCTAAACACAGTCTAATTATAGCTGACCAAGAAAGACCCTTGGTCAGAGTGAATCTGCCAACTCAGCCCTGCTTTCCTCAGGTCACTGCTTTACAGCTCACAAGGAAGACATGATGATCTCAACACAATGAGATATACAGGAAAGACAATAGACCAGCATCATCAATAATAACCACAATGCATCACTTCCTCTTTCCTTCCATCGATTTTCACAACTCCCTTTTCAGGAGTGAAGCAACTTCCTCTGCAGGCAACCCAGGGAAAGAACAAAAGCTGTTTGTCATACCACAGTCCCTGGGACTGAAACATGCTTTAGGCGTAAACCATTGCTTGTTTCTTTACTGACTAAACAACTAAAATGTTGTTAAATGTAAAATAATTTTTACCATGGCTGTTTTTAGGTTGTTTCCTTTTGGCTTATAAACAAATTGTATTTATTTCATGTCATTGCTTTCACACACTGCTACACAATCAGTACTATCTCTGTGCCTCCACTTTGCTGCATATAACCAATCACACATCACTAAACAATGCAGTCATGGATATATCCGAGTTCTGTTATTCAAATGTTTTTCAAAAGTATAAATGAATCAATCAGACATTTTCAGTTTTGTGTCTAGTTGAGTGGTGAATCAGCAGGTATGAAACTCAGACTGACAAGTGTCCAACAGCCAGGCAGTGTGAAACACTGATACTTACACACAGCATGTATGAACTTCTTCTTACCAACAACTCTCCAACTATCCCAAAGACATCATAGTGTATCCGAGAGATTACTGCTCCTCCATGTGTTGATGCACACTCTCTCTGACAGAGACAGACAGCCGTTTACTGGCTGGGCTGGACCAACTACTGCATACATATACTGGTTCAGTGGTTGTCCAGCCCCTCCTCCTTCCACCAGCCTGAGTTACAGTACACTGAGTGACATTCACGATTAGTCACCTTCCTCCCTCAGTAAAACTACCAGCTCAGCTTCCTATTCCTCCTCCTCCGCCTCCTCCTCTTCCCTTAAATTAGCCTGAATGCCGTAGTCTGGGCCAACAACAAGGAGAGCCCTGTGTCCAAACTCCTCTCCTTCTCCTTCTGGCTAATGTGGAGCTCCACCTTTAGTCCAGCCTCCGTCTTAAAGCAGTTTGCACAGCATTCAGCAACAACTGCAAATGTGTGTGCATGAACACACTTAAACCCTGGAGGCAATTCCTCATTTTGTCAGTGTTTTTCTGGACCATGGGGCAGTGAATCAGCATATTTACTCGCACACACAAATCTCACAGCTTGCATGACAAAAGGTAAATAACACATAGCATATCATATGTGTCCATCCAGTGTTAGTTATAATAAACTTAAGCCTTGTAAAAATAATAATTTATTGACAGTCAAATTCACTGTATTGTTGGGTGTAGGAATTTAGATACAAATTACAGCAGACATCTAAGAAGTGACACATATGGATGTAGATATATTTCACAATTGTGGCATTGTAATTACACAAGAGAGAGACTCTAAAGACCGATGTTTTGTAACTTTCCCTATTATTTCAAGTGTTACTGTGTATTTCACTGAGTTCAGATTACAACAAGACTTCTACTGACATGGTGCTGTTAGGTTTGTGTACAAGAAACGGTAGTAGCATTACAGAAGTAGTATGGACATTACAGTAAGGAGGATGTGTATTTTCTAAAATCAATATGATACAGGTTTCAGAGGACAGCACCGTTTTCAAGTTTAAAGTAAGTAATCAGCAATATTTGCCTATTGTCTGTCATGCCTCCTGAGTAGTTGACACAGCTCTGATGTTGACTGTTTATGAGCCTAAAAACTGATGTCATTCCTCCTTGTGAGACTTTACTGTAAGGCTGACTCATTAAACTAGAAAACAGAGTGACCAGATTAAAAGTCAATGAGCAAATCAATCTGCATCTGCCTCACACTTCCACACAAACATATTGTGTGGGCCACACACATATTTGTCCATTATGTACGGCAACGTGTGCAATGGATAATCTGTGCTGTGAGGTGTGTTAAGTACGGGGAAGTGGAGTACTGCTGTGCTAATAAACTGACTCATCCCTGTTTGTAACCACTCCATCCTGTATCCGTGAACACACAAACACAAACATTAGTATCGACGTGCCTCTCAGTGAGTTGTGCTTATCACTACAGAGGAGAACAGTGGCCGGCAGGGATCAGCAGTACCCGGCTGACAAGCATCCCTTGTTTGTACACAAAGCATTCACCAGTGGGCCAGCTCTACTTCTCATAGTGCCTGCAGTGTATTTACTGGGTTATTTTGGTCCAAGGGCAGGACCCCTCCAGGCCCTCAGCTTATTGGTCAGAATAGCTGCGTTCCTGTCGAGTCTGGCCAATCATAAGGCGTATATGTAGGAGGGGAAATCATTGACCAAGACAGACTTGTGCTCTATTGACAATGGCCTATGGAGGAGGCTGGACCCAAACACACATGCACACACACACACACACACCACTCAAGATGCTCTCTGTCGTTTACTCCCTCCATCACCATGGTGGCAAGAAGGCTGCAAATAAATACTACATAAATAGACCATCATTGTAACTCCAAGTGTCAAACAAATGTGTTGATGTGTTGGTGTGAAGTTTGACCCTGCTGTTATCCCTAAGCTATCTCTCAAACGGTGCTGACAATATTCCAACAAGTTATTGATAAGGCTGCAGACGCCTGCTATTCAACCATTGCAACATGG